GAAGTTGTGGCTTTGAAGTCGTCGATTTAATCCCACGGCAGTTCATATGGGATTTGTGTTTAGCAACTTTTCACTGTGGCAGCTTTTCCTTTGAGTACACTATTATTCCCTTTTGTCATCATTCCAGAAATACTTAAGTATCACCCTATCGTCAGGGCGATGATTCGTTGGACATATAGCACGGATAGGGGAGGTGAGACATTTATGCAAAACCTTAAAACAATTCGAGATCTAAGTGTAGATAGAGGGATAATATTAAAATAGGATGTGAAGGTGTAGACTGAATTCGAATGTCGTAATATAAGGTCTAGTGGTGAATTGTGAAAATGGTGGTCTTAAAACGAGATACTATATGGGTTAAGCTATGTGGCAGAAGACATAATCGGATTGTAATGTACAGGTGGGAAAAATAAGTGGATGACTACTCGCAGAATGTAACCGTAGGGCATTTAGCTACAGCTACGACCAGGCCTAAGCAGTGTTACCAATAATACAACTGAAATATCCCAATATTAGTTACTTTTTGAATCTCGTGCGTATCTTAAAATAGATTCCGAAAATCTTCTGTTTCTTATTGACACTATACGGACTCTGCAGTTAGGATAACTTAAGAATTAATAAAGTAGAGTGAGGATTTTTAATCTCTGTACAGAGAATATTTTGGACTTGAGATGTAGGTAGGATGTGTTTTATTAAGACCATTAAAACTGGTGAAATTGATGTAGACCTGTTGATTCCACTCAATCTTAACCTCAGCAATAGATTGAGGTGATTTGTCAGATTTACGCCCCAGCCGCCTTACCCCCATGGAGAGAGACCCTGGTACCCATTAGATAGGTTAATTTGGTGTCTGGATACTTTGGCTTCTCTACCGGAAACTGTCCAGCCCAAGAGATTTTACCCAGGCTGAGAATAAAACCCTAGGCGAATTCTTACGTTGTCGTGAATGTGCCACTTACATTCGTGATTATAATGTTTCTTGTCTGGCTTTCTCGCTGCGTTTGAGGTCATGGCCATACGGTCTTCGTTCTTTTTTGGTAAGCACGAGCGATTGTTTGCAGCTTAGAATGCAGTTTTGTGAAACGTATGGACTGGTTTATGAGGTGGAAGATGCATGGATTTCAGGTCCGGTTTGCGGTTATGACTCCTACGCTGTTTTGTCTGTTTTGAGTAAAGTGTTCATTGAAAAGTTGATTGTAAGTAAACTGCATCTAATTTTATGGGTCCCGAAGGATCATTTTACTATTGACAAAAAAAATCACCATTGGACATCATTAGGGACAAAGGGTCCTGTTCAAATTGTGTATGCATCTATATTCTCCCCTATGTTAACGTTCAGTCCGTCTTATCCTCCTTAATATTTCAGTAGCAATTGCTTTTATTTAGTGGTTATTCTTTCATGATACTATTTCCTCATTCGTCTTGTTATTTTATCTCGTATGTCCGGATATTAATCTCAAATTAGTGTTCTGAATTTTCTTTAATTTTGCCTCTTATTGTTAGCGTAGTTAAATCACGAAGAATTTGGAGGATGTAGATGAGAAACAAGAAACGCGTACAGCGTTCTGATGTGGAAATCTATTTAAAAACATCTGTGATAATGGAGCGAAAGAGAATATATTATTTTAAGTAGATTAAATTAAACTGCTTTGGTATGTGTGTTATCTGTGTTGAAATATCAGGTTAAAATAACAGGGAATTATTTGGAATAAATTAATCATATAAATACGAGGGTCGCTCATTAAGTAATGCCCCACATTTTTTTCCTCAGAACATATTTATTCAAGATGGCTCAAATTTAGTGACAATATAAATCAATGTTTCCTTTACACATACTATGTTTCCACATAGTCCCCATCAACTTGTACGGTTTTACGCCAGCGTGGAACAAGGGCATGCATGCCTTGCCGGTACCAGCTCTTGTCCTGTGCACGTAGCCATGTCCTCACTGCTTGAATCACGCTCTCGTCATCTTCAAATCTTGTTCCGCGGATAGCATCTTTAAGTGGCCCAAAGAGATGAAAGTCGGAGGGTGGATGGGGCAGCACCGTCCAACCCAATTTGGTGATTTCTTCCCGGGTTCTCAGACTTGTGTGAGGGCGTGCATTGTCGTGCAGGAGCAAAATTTCTGCTGGATGCTTGTGAGGCCGAACTCGTCGAAAACGCTTCTTGAGGGTTTTCAGGGTCCTGATGTACGCGTCTGAATTGATGGTCGCACCTCTTGGCATCACATCCACAAGAATGACCCCATCACTGTCCCAAAAGACAGTCATCATGACTTTTCCGGCGGAGGGAGTTGTCTTGAATTTCTTCTTTCTCGGTGATTGAGGATGATGCCACTCCATTGACTGCCTTTTTGTCTCTGGCTCAAAGTGGTGTATCCAGGTTTCGTCACCTGTAATGATCCGGGACAGAAAGACCTCTCCCTCAGCATCAAAACGCTCCAACAATTCAGAAGAAATCGTTTTCCTTTGAATCCTGTGGTCTGCTGTGAGACTTCGTGGAACCCATGAGCGCGGCAGATCACGGAGCTCGGTTTCTTCACTTCCTGAAGCTTTAACTCTCTTAGCCCAGCGACCAACGGGGCTCCTATCGACTGCACAGCTTCCATACACAGCACACAAACGTTTATGAATGTTCACCACCGTTTCTTTTTCAGCAACAAGGAATTCAATTACAGCTCGTTGCTTGTAACGAGAGTCGTTCACAGACGCCATTTTAACAGTTCACTACAGCTCCGCTATCGGTTGGAATCATTTGAAACTCCGTACACGAACGCGGGACACATCAAATCTCAAGCATGTAAAAGTACACTTTTCTATCTTCATTATTGGCTGAGAAAAAAAATGTGGGGCATTACTTAATGAGCGACCCTCGTACATATCAACGCCACATTTTAAAAGCTTCATAGTATTTTACTTATTTCCTTCAGTTATATAAATATTTACATGAATTTAAGTTGTAAATTTAAATTAGTCTGTTGGTATCCTGAGACAAGGACCAAAACGAATTGAAATAAATTTTAAATTAATTTTATTTCTCCCACTCTCTGTGAGTAAGACAGAGAAATGTCGTCTTTTCTCTCTCAGCTTCTGGTGACGGTTGAAGATCTAAATTGGTGTCAGAATCGTGCGAAGTGTTACGCATTGGTTTCTGGCGCATGAATAAGTGTGGACAACAAGATGGCGGTGCTTTGATTTGAGAATTGTTCACATCTGCAGATTTCTCGTCCTCGTCTGTTGCTGTTTCTGCGTTCTTTGTTTCAACCTGGTTACATTTCTCTGCAACAGACTCTGGTAGATTGGAATCTTCTTTTTCCCAACGGAATCTACCAAAAAATGGCAATTGGAAACTTCATCTAATGGGTCTGTGACCTTCAGAGGCCCAATTGGAACTCACTTTATTATTAATTACACCCGAGTGACTAACACAACTTTTAAATTATGAATACACACAAATGGGAGTTTGTCTTTTTGTCCACTCCAAAACCATTGGAATAATTAATACATCTGTTGTGAAATATTTCTGGAGAATTTCGTTTTTACCCACAAGATCTCTGAAGTTCGTCATACACGTGAAATCAAAGGCATGAAATATGTTTCATAAAACTGGAATGTATGGCTTCATCGGAAAATGCCATTAGATGCCACAAATAGTCGTTTGAAACGACTGTTATGCAGCTGTTTGTAACACAGACGTGAACTGAACGGTTTCGTACAAATTCAATTTTGTTGTGAACGCTTAGGAGGTAGTGACATCTTAATTTTCATATAATCTGAATCCTGCATTATGTTCTAATTGGTATCATCTGACTTCATTTAATTACATAGCGTGCTGTAATCTCACAATGTTTACGTGGTCCAAACAAAACTATTAGAATTAAACTGGATACATGCAACTGATTTACATGTCGTAAGTCGTAAACAAATCTTTTATTTCATTACCCGCACAAATATGCTTTTGTCTGAGAAACAGTAAGTGGTTGACTTGGATTACACTATTCGGCCTATGTTATCAATATGGCTTCCTCTCTAACCTGTTCTCTGGACGATACACAGCATAAACTTCATTCAAGGTCTTGGATTCCACCAAAATCCCTGGGTTTTCTTCCCTTATATCACGGCCTTCGCTTGAATCAGTCTAGAAGCAGTGAAGCGTACGTTATAGCAGACGTCACCAAATTGAATGTTTCAAGGTCACGTAAGTATTTCACAACCCCCCCCCCCTTTCCGCGTGGTTCTAAGTTAAAAGTACAGCGTTTCTTTGCGGTTTGAACTGTCGTCACTTGAATGGGCCACGCTGTTCGTATTGCAACGTTATGTGACCTTGATACATGCAATTTGGTGACGAACGCTATAGCAGTGTTCATTCATGTACACAGACAAAGTTTAAGGGCAGATTATGACTTTTTCGGGAAACTTATATGGTTTGGAGAACGTAAAAACAAAAACAGTGTGAAAAATATATAAAATTTATAAAAAGTTAGTTAAATGTGAAGACATCTCACCGATGTTTAACTACAGTAAGCTGTTCTTAGAGGGTCCTACTTGCCTTTCGTGATTCGGTCATGGACTGCATAGGAGATGGAAAGTCTTCTTCAGTCCAGGCGTCGTGACGCTTTCGACGACTCCTCAGAGCTGCTGTAAGGTTGCCACAGACCACCATTCCAGAGGTGAGTAGACTGGAGGAGTCGCAGCGTGGGTCAACCACACAGGCCCCACTCAGATCGCCTTCGTCTGGTCATGACATTCATTGTAAATCAACACAATATTGAGATTAATGCATTCGATCATGTTTCGTTCTATATATTCGTTTATCCTTTACCAGTAGGCTTTTCAGCTTAAAGTTTAAACATATCCCCCAATTGCTTCAATAGTAAGCAAATTTTCATTTTGTATTCATGGGTTTCGTATGATTCTTAATGTAAACAGCGATTATTTACTTAAACAGCATTAACCAGATGAATTTGTAAAGGTGAAGTGTAGTGTTTTCTTTGCTGTACGGAATAAATTATTAAATATTATTTGAACGAGCTTACAAAAAGGACGAGGGGGCATCGCATGGGGACTCTCAAAGCCAAAAATGTATATTTATATCCGTTAAATGCAATGTCACTCTCTCCCCCCACCCTTTGAGTCATTTATTCATGTGATAATTCACTCGGTGTCAGAGGGTTAAATAACGCTGAAGAAGTAGAAGTACATTATCCTATTCATTACATATTTTCATTAAATCTTCAGCAGCAGCTACCAGATTATATGCTTCAAGGCCAATGCGATATCGTACAACGTTGCCACGCGAACAGCGGAGAACGGGCGAGTAAAGGTAGTTCTGAACACTTATCGTGGCAAAACTAGCAACGCTGTACCGTTGACTTATAGCCGGGTAGGCGGGAAGAGATGGGTGTGTGGCCTTGAAGCATGCAATTTCGTGACGGCTGCTATAGTTAAACCTTTGGTTGTAGCAGCAGAGGATGGTCTTGCTTTACTTGTTTGTCCGTGTGACGCTTCTAAAGCACCGATGACAGCAGTGGCCGGTCGCTTCTTAATTGTCGCTTTGCGAGGGTTTTTCTAGAAGCAAAATGTTTGCGTTCCGTCACGATTTTGAAAAAAATACTTTGTTATTAAACACCAGTGAAAATTTAAATTTAACCAGTTGTATTAGAAAGAATGGTTGTGTTATAATTATATTTCCAGTACTTAATGTTTGCATTTTCAGCACTAAGTTAATGTTTATGTGTCGTCATCGGACTTTTGGATAAAATAAATGTTTTGAAAATTTAGCAAAAGTTTAAATATTTGAGAACGACGTCAACAAACCATTCACGAGAAAAATAAAGCCGGACTAACCCAGTAAATGCTTGATACCACGCAGTTTAAAATATTTTGTCTTCCTGTCAGCAGTCTGAATCGTAAAATTCCTCACTAACCTTCCAGTTTTGGGTTAGCGTGCTGTCAGAAACGCTGCTTTGTGTGGAGTGCAGACCTGTGTAAGTCCGATAAGACGAACTAGAGCAGTCTGGGGAATCCCCCATATTACTCATGCTAGACCCGTCGGTTCCATCCGCTTGTTTCGAGTAGCCATCTTTATTTGTGGTTGGATGTTTGTCGCCGCTGGACTCTAGCCCGTGATGACGAAGCTTATAGCAACGAGGTCTTGGTCTGAAGAAACCCCGACGTTGATAGCCAATACCGACATCATCATCATCAATGTGTTCAGAATTTTGTTCCTGACCTGGCAATAAGTAGAAAAAATGCAAAAAATCTTTTCAAAGTTCTGATATCCGATGTTAGTGTCAAGAGAAACATGGGATCATTTCTTCGTCATGGTGTTTGGGCATCATCAATTCGAGACAGAGCTTGATAATTAATTATCTCTCCAAATTTAAAGTTTCGTCTTCCATAGGTTACATTTTCATAAAATTGTACAACGCCGTCAGAGCCAGAAACTTACCAACCTGTGTCACAGGGATGCCGTCCAGTGTGACCAAGTTTGGCAGGAGACGCCGAATCCTTGCCTGATAGTTTGGCGTAGAGGACACAGGACATTCTGCCAATGTCAGATACTCAAGGTGGGAACAAATGCCGAGGAACTCCAACGATCTTACGTCTTCTACAGCATTCCTAAATACAAATCATATACCAATAAAAGAGCCTGAATATTATATATCGAATTATTCCTTTAAGGCAGAGGTAATTTTGTGTCTAGTGCCCAGTTAAACACCAGGCCATTAAGACGCAGGGGCGTGGATGTATAGCTCCACCTATTCTTAACTTCGACACTGAATGGAAGTGTGTAATCAGCATCAGGTTCCGGTCGCTTTACTCTCGAGGATAGAACCCCGGTACCTATTAGACAGGAGCCTGGGTGGGCCCCGGAGACGGTCTAGACGTTATGACCATGGTATCGAATCCCGGTCGTCCAACCCATAGCCTAGTCACTATATTGACTTAGCTGAAATTACTTAACATTTACTAAAAATTAATAAAATGTAGCTGAAAGATTCTTTAAATGTTTGTGAACGTGATTGATTATCTACTCCGGACATTGTCTATTGTCGGATATCACAAACTAATTTGTATTAATACCATTCAAGATGATAGATTGTGGATCTAATCCAATTATTTTTTAAGCAAGGACACCCCCTTTTCGTGTGCTCATTGTTTGTATAGTTTGTCGACATTTCAGCTAAGCTATTCTGTGGTCGTAATTTTGCGTGTCTTCGTCATATAAAAGCAAGTTACATATTTGCTGGCTTTGATGCAGGTTTGCGTGTCTACACAACGGCTTAAATTTTTTAATAATGACTCTACATGTCAAAATTGTCTATTTTAATTGCACTATTACTGTTATGCAGTTATCTGAGAAGAAACTCGCTTCTGTTATGGTGACAAAAAGGTTAGTATGTAGCACGGCCGATATTTTTTATTGTTGATGAAGAAAGACAGATTAAAGATACAAAAGAAATCGGTTACCGTTAAATTTCAGCTGCTTCCATCATGAGAGCGATGATTTTATTGAAGATGGAGGCAGCAAGCACCACTGAAACGTCGGTAAATTTCTACCAGACAACACGGCGTAATATTCTAGAAGACAGCCATCTTTATACACCTTTATAGGTTGTTGACGTGGTAACCTGTGATCTCAGCATTTGAACAGAATTTTTAGGCAAAATGTCGTGCAAGATGATTTTGATGAGAGAGCTTACTTGCCGAGGTCGATAATTCGGATGTGGGGCAGCGCGGAACATGGGCTAGCATCGTCCACCATGTTGTGGCTTGCGTGCAGTTCACGAAGATTCGTGAGACCGAAAGTACCGTCTAAAGACTCCAGACCACACCTCGACACCCGGAGTACGTTGAGAGATGCGAGACCACAGCCCAGATCTCTAGAAGTAGAAGCAAATATTTGAGTCGAAGGGCGAAATAAATCCATCTTGTGTTAATAACCGATGGTGTAGTCACTGATTACACTGCAGTGTAGTGTATTTTGGATCACACTGTACTGACCCTAAGAGAGTACTTAAGGAAAGAGTATAGACATGTGTTATGTTTTCGGAGGACGACTGAAATATTATTAAATAGGGGAATTATTGAATTATTATTATTAAAGAAAACTTAAAACTCTCTTCTGAATTAGGGATTTATTTCACTGCCATCTCATGGAAGCAACGCAACTATTACAGATCTGGACAGGGCTAAAGAAACACATAATTTTACTTCTCACTGGTGGTCCAGTTAGAAGTAAGAGTAAAATCTTACATTTATGACTCTGAGAGGCGTGAATGTCCTCATAAATTCAGCTTGATGATTTTATAATCCAATATACTGTTGCGTCTACCTTTAGGCAACTTCTAGAAGTACTAATGCCAGTGACGAAAATTATTATGGATAGGTAAATAATATAGAAGGAAAAAGGAAAGAAGATAAAAAGTATGAAAGATACAAGGCAAAAGACTACTGAGGGGAAAGAATTAATATATAAAATATTTCATTTCACGTTGAATTTCAACGGGTCTCTTCCACGTGTAGTATTATTAACGCTGTCTGGGTGTAATATTTTCGGTACCTGAGTGATCCCAAGAAACTGCCTTCAAGGTTGAGCTCCCTGAGGTTCGGAACGAAGAGGGCTAGTCTATGGAGGCTCATCTCCCTGGATATCACTCGTAGTTTGATGTCTCGGACTGAGATCAGATCTGCATTTCCTGAAACTTGCCTCTGAAACATCATCGATGCATATTCTGAATTAATACAGGAATCCAAATTGAGCAGTCATTCATAAAAGATTAGGCTAATAATATATTTTTGTTCCGAAGTTTTCCAGCTTTTATAGACCCCCCCAAAAATGTGTTCACAACATTAAAACACTGATCCCTGTCCTGATATGGATGATCCATTCCAGAATTTAGTGATGTATTTATTTAAATTTATTTTAATATTATTCTTTTTGCTTTTATGTCTCTCAAATGATCTCTTTAATTGAAGATTCTCTCAAACCAATGCGGTGCGCGGTAGCGGTACGGTACGAAGCACAAGCGATGTGGAATCCTACATTCAGTGCGCATGCTCGTACTTAACGCTGTGTCGCTTTGTACCGCTCCCTCGTACCGCGGCGGTTTCAGAGAACCATTAACTTTCTACGTAGCAAATGAACGTACCAGCAAGCGAGGTAGGTTATGGTCAATAGGCAGGCAGTCAGACGCCCCGTTTTGTAGAGCTGGTGGCGGGTTTATAATCAGAAAACTTTGGCCATCTTCACCCGCAAATGATGGTTCCTCTGGATGCGAAGGTGGTGATGGGGTTGCTGAAGGGGTAGGAGATGGGGTTGGCGTGCCTGTTTCAGGATCAGCTGTTTCCAAATCCGCAGCACCGTGGGTACTTCCGGAAGGTTCCATATGCCCCGTTTGATGGCAATATGGACTCATTTTCCTACGCTTGAAAACAAACTATGAAAGTTACACAGTCAAATGATTTAGTCGTTCTTTACGGAGGGAGAAGTAAATAAGAAAACACTTTTTGTTATGATTTTCCTTCTGTTAGTTTTGTAGTACTAGTGTCGATGCCTTGAATTTATTTCGACAAAATGTTATATCGTATTAAATACTGAAACTATAAATTCTGGGTTAAAAACGATGATACTGGGATATATTTTAATTTATATTTATAAATTAATACTCTTTTGTATTTCATTAAATGTTCATCAAATCCGACATTATATATAAAAAAAAAAAAACTTGAATGCTTGTGAGGTACTTAGTAAAGCTGTAATTAATTTAAATGCTGGCACTTATTTGTGATTTTAGGCAGAAGTTCAGTAAAATAAACATTTCATGTAATGTGTTTTCTTCTTGACGCTATGTGGTCTGAGGTATTTAAAGCATCGGTAATTAAACCACTGATAAATAAATAAATAAATAGTTAAATATGTAAACAAGTCAGTAGATATATAAATGAAACAAGACCAGTTTTACAAGGTTATTTAGGTTCAACATAATAATGATGGCTTGTCTTCCCCAGGTCAGAGGAATCTCGTGCATGATAGATAAACATTACACGTGCTTACATAAAATGCAACATTATATAATTTCTGGAATAACATGTGCATAGCCATTGGTTATTACAAAATGTAGTCTACATATTGTTATTCATTTATATAATTCTTCGTCTTTAATGGAACCCTTAGGTTCATTACCATGTTCACAAGAGCCTGCGTTTAAATTGCATAAAAGACTTGTCATGGACAGACGAACAAAATATAAATTTATGACTCTAAAATACTGACCTGTATTAAAATGATGTTTCTTTAATTTCATAATGTAGTTATATGTTAGAGTATTTAATCCTGTCACTTAACTTCACGTTAGTTACTAACAGAAACTGCTGTTGTTAGGAAATGTTATTTCGTTGCCCTTAACAACGATACATACGCGCATGCGCTAATTACATTCTATAGAAACGCGGCAGAAAGATTTCGATCAAAGCAAAACACGGGGTTGACGTGGAAAGGTACTGCAGAAATACAGGTTGAAATTGTAGTTATGTTGATCCACGTCATAGACCCAGTTAATATAGAATTTGAATCTTTTACAGTGACCGAAATCAGTGGCTTCTTCTCGTATCTTTATCCGTGTCTATCTCAGGAATTAATCCCGTGTCACGCCATTAGAGACCGACACGCATTTATACTATTCAACTCCCTGTCATAAATAAAACTAATATTACGACCGATCTAACTTCTGAGGTGGGAATGACAATATCATCAGTAGGGTCGTAAAAGTTTGAGTGGCAATAGTACAAAAACACGCAACGCAACTTTATACGCGATATACTCTTTATTTTTTATTTAATAATTGTGTATTATTATTCCTTGCTTCTTTAATCCTTCCTTTTTCGTGTTCTTTCTTGATATCTTACGTTCATCTCAGGTCATTTTTTTTCTCCAAAACTCAATTACAGAAACGTACAAAAACAGAACGCATTGCGTTTCCACACGTGTGTCCAAAAACGCATCCATAAACGACTTCATGCTAACGAAGTGCCGATCTTGATAACATAAGCAATGGTACCACTCACAACGTAAGACTGTCGCGTGCATGATTTTGATCATCATTAAGCGAAAATGGTAAATAAACTACCGAAACGTATATTTTATCAGTTGAGTAACGTGTCCGGTTACATTCAGGCGTGTAATGTCCGAGGGTCTTAATTTCGGATCATTGGTTCACAGAGCAAATAGGCGGAGTGTAGATCACTCATTCAGCCGTGATCAATAATAATTATTGGGGTGATGTGCTTATCTCTATAGTATTATGTTGGTGTCACGAAAGAAAAGACAATTCAGTATAATTAAACGTGGGAATGTTTTTAATGTTCCTGTGGAGCAGTATTGTAGCGTTGTGAATTTCAAGGTCACTGTCAGCCAGACTCGAAACGGATAACACTGGGGATATGAATAAACTGTATTTGCCCCTTAATGAATCTGTAATAGTATCTGGATCCACGTTTAAAGTCCGCGTTTCGTATCTTGAATCAGACTTAAATTTAAGCAAATTCTTCTGGTAAGGAGTATTGAATATTATGCTAATCTAAATTTGTAGTAGTTATTACATTTTAAGATGGATGTCTTCTGGGTCGTTGCGCCATGTAGTCTGGTAGAAGTCTACCAACGTTTCAGAGGTCCCTGCTGCCTCCATCATCAGGGCAATGAGTAATCATACTCGCCGCCAAGAGAACCTGAAACCTCATTCGGTACATTTTACAGGGAGGCTACTTTTCGCTATGTTCGGAGATAGGAAACCCTTCGGTTTAATCATCGACCTGATGGTGGGCAGCAGGGACCTCTGAAACGTCGATAAAATTCTACCAGACTACACGGCGTTACAACCCAGAAGACAGTTATCGAATTTTCTGTTCACCGAAATTTAATTTGTTGTTTAATATGACTCAGTAAATTGAGGAGTGTATTCAAAATTTGGTCAAACCATTTAACAACCGTTTGGGAGAGTAGACTTTTAGAAGAAGAATTTTACTTTGCTGGAAAATTATTATACTGAGCTAGTCTTGGAAAAGAACTTTTAAATGCGAGCTTATTATGCAACACTGACAGAAGGGTGGTACATTGTATGGTTTCGGGAACATAAATACGACTTGAGTTTCGATTTTTCGCGTCTATGCTTCGCCCCCTTTCTCAGTTTACAAATCCCATGGGTTCTTATCGATTCTTGGCATTCATGTAAGTCTGCATTAGCTATTCATGTTGCTTACTTTTATCCCCATCTCATGCATTTTTATTTTGTTCACGACAGCGACATCTTGATTCAAAATGAGTTGTTTGAATAACAGGAAAATATAAATTTATAAAGGAAGAACTAAACTAATTTTCCTTCCTTCTGTGTGTATAAAGTGCAATTTAAGAACGTCACTATTTTTGGGTGTCGACCGTGACTTGCGTGTAGCCTACCTGACGGCTGTAACACCTTGATCGCCATCTTGTCCTAGCTCCAGTTCTGTCATTTCATAACCTTAAGTTAACCAAGCGTATATATATATATATATATATGTATTCTTACAGGTGTCCAGAAATGTGAATCACTGTGTATAAAAATATATACGAATGTACTATTTTCAAATCAGAATTAGAATAAAATTCAAAATAATTTAGAGGCTTATTTAAAATGAGAAATTCTCTTTTGGAGGAATGTGGGTCTCTTTTTATCTGTGTATGTGCCCATAATAAGAGTTTCAATGAAAGGACTGGCTTTTTTAACTTTGCTATTTTCTTGTTTTTTTTTACAATTTTTCTGATGTTGGTACGCTTGCGTAAAGTAATGCTGGAAGTTTATTTATATTAGTCAACCACAGGTCAGCCTTTCGCGAAGATTCTGTAATTTTTTTATGAAACAGTTGAGTGATTTTTGTGCATCTTTGTTAGTGCGATACCTTTATCACAGTTAAAGTTATGATTTTTGTAATTTTTGTAGTTATTAGGTGATATGGAACAATCACATCTACCCTAGAAATTTAATATCCTAACCGATTCCCTCTATTCTGTTAAGACCTTCCACGTCCGCTGTTACATCATTGAGGCAGTCTCTCTTAATTTTCTACTACTGATAATGTAAAATGTGTAGGGCTGTAATGGCTTATCTTAGATAAAATATCGCAACACGATTTGCAACTGTTTTTAAACTACCTTTATGTTGTCAAATCCTAGAGTTCTTCCGTAGTCTTCAGCTAGGCTACTAATATTATTTACGGTATAATTTAAATGACTGTTGTCGTTTGTATTGGAAAGTACGTTTGTATCTCAGCAACGGAGTTGTACCATTGAACTTCAAATCCAAATTGGAATATAATTCTCTGATCTTGTTAATTTAGAAATAAACATTTGATGTGGTAGGTGCTTAAGAACTTCAGCAAAGGAAGACGAAATTTTGTGAAGTGATATATTTCTGGTAGTAATATGAAAATTTTAGTAGTTTTTTTTAAAAATGGAAACAAATGAATACGCAGAAGCGATAGGAACCTGCTCACTTTCATGTTTGACTGTACTGCATGGAAACAGTGAAATATTATAGCAGATATGTAGAACGTTTTGTGACAAGTTACAAATGGATATAATGTATTTTGTTTACATCATATTATCATATGTCTACATCATAGTATCTTCTCATAATTTGTTTCTGTACTAGTCTTTAGCCTAAAAAGTTTTTAAAGAAACTGTTATTTACGAAAGTCTCATAAGAAATACGACTTTCCGATACTGAAAGCGAGAGAAAATGTTTGTTAACATTAACATTTATTATTTTAACGTCAAGGAAAATCTGTTTACTCCAAACAAATAGAAACATTGATAAAAAAAATACTGCATAATCAGTATTGATATGTGGAAAAAAGAATTTTTGAGGAAAGATATTATCCTTTTAACAAATATTGAAACATACTTCCATCTGTCAACTTCATATGTTACAGTGCAATATTTTTGGTATTTTGTATGTAGAATGTGACACGTTTCTTTTATACTGAACATTGCTGAAACGATGGAGGATTTTCTTTGAATAACCTGGGATGATTAATGTGTTTATTGTAGCTACGTCGATAACACTAAACATTTATTCTGAGCTACAAAAATAATTTCAGCAAACTCTTTGCCTTTAGCGTAACTATTTTCTCGATAATGCCTTAGTCTGGTGCATTAAAATGTGGGTTAAACTTTTAATCTAACTTACAGATTGCATTTATAGCATTGCCAAAATTGATGTTGTTCTTTTAAGCGATTCAATCGGTTGAAATAAATCGAAAGGGTTCACTGCGTTAACGTGGGCAACTCGATTTCAGCAACCGACATTCCATGGAGCAGAACCCTTCAGAAGACGACACTCACTCAACTGGTCAAGATTAATTGAGGTTTGAAGGTTTATTAAAAGGCATTAAAATAGGGTCGTAGCTGTGACTACTAAAAATATAGCATTAATCAGTTTACTTAATTTATAATGGTCGTGGTGTGTTGGTGTTACTTATCGGTCAGTATAACCAAGATTTCATGCTAGTATTTTCTTTGCGATAATATATTTTGGAACAAAGTATTCGTAACTTTCGTTATCCTTTCAGACTAAACAATACTGTGAAGTATTACTGTGAAGTATTTACAGGAAAACCCATGAGAATTCCCTTACCTGCATGCGACATGCTGATATGTACATGTATATTTATTATTAACGTCGACCTTAGTAGCCACGGTCGATAACGAACGGTGTTGACATTGTCTAGTCTCTACAGAAAAATTGTATGGGAATTTTAATATTTTAAGTTTGGGATTATAATCAGATCTAACTGAATATCTCTTATTGCGAAGTAACAATGTCGTTTGTGGAATGACGTTTTTAAATCGTCGATATCACGCGGTATGCATGACGACAAAGAAAAATTTGAACCGACAGATGAATTTATAAAATAATTAATTGTACAATGTAATGGCAGTTTTCACACTTATGTGGAAGTGAAATTCATGGAACAAAGAAAGGAAAATTGTACATAGAAATTAATAGATAATCAACTTTTCGATTAAAATCGATATTTAGGTTTCTATATACACAAACGTTGTCTTTATGTGATTTATGTGTCTGTAACTGAGTATGAAAAAGTCGATTGAATTCTACTTCACATTTACTTAATGCCTTGAGAACATGAATCTTAGTTTCGATTATCGATTAGCAATTGATTTCTGTTCTTTTACTTGTATATATTTTGGTACAAACATATCTATAAAGCGTTTTGAGTTTTTAAGAGAGACATTATACTGACTGAGCTAGTCAAATTTGTTTACACTTTGTTTAAAATAAAAACAAATGTGATTTGTGAGAAATTTACGAAAATTGTTTTCAGTTCCGTGAACTCATAGGACGTGGGGCCTACAGCTATTAAAATCTTACTATGGTTAATTCTTGTGTTTAACAAACATATCAAGTTATGTACTTGAATGTTCCAGAAGTAGTTTATGCTGTCGGCTAGATCAGGTAAAAGAAGCGATGTCCTCAATCTGAGGTTCATGTTTTTTAGAAAGTGACCTCAAGTCTAAATATCTAAAAACTCTAAACTACTTAGAAACAAGGAGAAAGTTACGAACATATTGAAATTCAAATAGAATACGTGACAGTGTGAAAGAGAGGTTAATAACTTCAACTTTACTTCTTTAATAGTCAGCAGAACTCAATTAACATAGTGACTATGCAACGACCCGGGTTTGATCCCTTGTAGGGGCAGAGATGTTTCACGTTATCATCAAGTCCAGTCTAGCTCTGGGGCTCAACCAGACGTGAATCGAATTGGTACCGAGTCGCTTTTCCTCAGGGGTAAATCGGTCGGGGTGTGAACCTAACTACCCACTCCTTCTAGTTGCAAGACTAAGAATACATGGAGCTAAACCTTCACTTCCCATACATTTAAATAGCGTGGTGTTTAATAAACATCATGGAGCCGTATTTTACATTTATGTTCTATTTCCTTAATATAAGTTGATTCAACCCTTGACACTTTACAGAGATTACCTAGATTCTTATTGGTACAAACTCTAGGGCATATTGGACGGAGGATCAAAACATCGTAGGGAAACACAAAGAATTCCGACAGACATCAATAACACATGAAGATGGCTGTGTTCTGGGATGTTAATTCGTGTAGTTTGGTAGAAATTTACCAACATTTCAGAGGTCCTTATTGCCTTTATCATAAATGTGATATTCATGGCCCTGGTGATGGAAGCTGCCAGTACTTCTGAAACGTCGGTAAACATATTCCAAGCTACACGAATCAACATCCCAGAACGCAGCCATCATTATCGCTTTCGTGAGAACCTCGAATCTCGCATACGTACAATTATTTATTCAGATAAGCTGAAAATAAATCATATGGGTACAGTTTACATTGAATGATAAAAAACATGGATTTTAAATAAATAGATCAAGAATTTAAAAAATAGATTGATGTAGCTCAGAGTAGGACCGAACAGCGTGTTCTTATGAACACGGCATTGAAACGTTTATAAATGACTATAGATTCATTGACTAGGTGACCGACTGTCAGCTTGTCAAGAACCCTGCCCCACGTGTAATAGCCGCAGCCAACAAATTGAATGTGTCAAGGTCATGGAAAAATCTTTAAACGTTGCTACACGAATAGCAGAGGCTTTGCGAGTGAAGACAGTTCAGAACTCGCAGCATAGCAAAGATACAGTTCTTTAAAGTCGCTTGATTTGGGGGGGGGGGTGGTTGTAAAATCCTTCTGTGACACTGAAACATAATTTGGCAATGAATGTTTTTGTATTAGAGTCTTATCCTGATGCGATGCTTCATTATCGTTTTTCGTGACCGGAAGTGTTTCGCGTCAAAGAAAGCTTAGCGAACACTAAGGCAGAAAAACTGCTGAAGGCGAAGAAGAATCGACGCATTTGTGCTATCACTTTCTCCATTTTGCTTGTCTTCTGCGGTTCTTTGCTTAATGAGAATCATTGAAGTTCGGTTGGAGACCCTTGACCTCATTCCTGTACGGTATTCATGCACAAGAAATGAACACAAAAACTACAAAAGTGAATACACTTCAGGTATCGATTGCCCATTATAAGATATCTTAGATGTTACGATTTCTCTTTCTATCGGTTTGTAAATATGAAATTTATTTGTAAATCATCATTTTGGCCTTTCTTAACAATACACGCATTATTCGCGTATTCTAAGGTATATATCCGGGTTGAAAATGGCTTTCTCCTGGATTATTGCGTAGTATGGTAGAAGTTTACCGACGTTTCAGAGGTCATTTCTGTCTCCATCATCAGGGCGAGGAGGCAGCAAGGACCTCTGAAAAGCTGGCAAACTTCTACCAGAATACACGGCGCAACAACCCAGAAGACAGCCATCTTATTCCAGGTACATGTGCATCCTTGCCTTTAGTAAAGTAGATTCGAGTCATAACAGGTGTCTGGACGGACGTGAGAAGCGTTATTATGTCCATTGCTTTAGGTGTTATATTGATTACAAGTAATGACAAGGTATTATGTGACATCGCTTCCACACACACGCTCACAGGCGTACGTTAAAAATGTTTCTGTGCATGAATAATCTTTTTATCGAACGCCTAATATTTCGTAATGACGCTACTAATATGTATTATTTTGACTTACTTCTGATGACGTTAATATACGCAGTGAATATTCAATGCCTTCGAATTTTTTGTTACGTTGTTCCAGAAAACCTTTTAAGGTGTTTTGTGTTGGTTTTCGTTCAAGCGCTTGGTATGGAAATACAATGTCCGAAAAATACGTATACGGACATAGAATTAAATATATTTTAATAAACTAAACCATTACATACGTCAACATTGGGACTTTGTTAATTTAGTGTAGATGTTGGTCATGACCACTGACTGACAAGCCGTTCAGTTTCTTGTAGGATCTCTTGGAAGTGCACTAAGCCGCGACCTTCGAATAACCCCCTCAAGTAAAAGTCAGGTGGGGTTAAAGCTGACGATCGTGGAGGGTACTCAAAATTTCCTCTTGTGTTCTACTCCATTGGTCGGGAAAAGTTTAGTCAATACAGGTCGTGACATATGGACGATAATGTGGGACGGTCCCGCCTTCTTGATGTCACATGCCCTCATCAGCACACAGCTGACAATCAGTGGGAACAATGGATTCTTGATTGTGCAGACATCGTTTTGGGACACCCTGATGTCTCTACCGCAATGTATGTCGTACATTAACCGACTAAGAGCCAGTTAGTGGTTTGTGTACAGCCTTTGAAAAAACATTGTAATTGAGTACATTCACTTTCAGAAATGATGACATGGAGCAATGCAGAGAAGAAATTCAAAGGCATTGAACATTGAATCTGTATAATTATAGTAATAATTGTTTAATATTTGTACCCATATTCATATTAATCTAGTCTGTAAACTGGCTACCCGCTGGATGACCGAGGTTCTATTGTCTGCAGCGTACACACAGCCTCCCATCCAATGGTTACCAGGACTTGCCCAGAGGGTAAAATGAAGCCGACCACTGACCACCATCTTCTGTCCAGGTTAAGAATAAATGGATGTTTACCTCCACTCCCACAAGTCTTCATAGCGTGGTGATCAAACACAGGTACAAATTTACGTTCTACCACAGTTTTTAAAATTCGAACTCGTGGTTAAATGCATTGGTTTAGGGTCATAAACCGCGGTTTGTATTAGGTCTGAAGTGCGCATGTCCTGAAACACGCACACACGAAACACGAATATGTGTCCCCTTATATCTGTTCTGTGGTGGAGCTATTCCTCCACATCGTCCGTAGGTTCTTGGAGAAACATAAAATATCTAAAGAATTAATTGTTTCATAATTATTTCCGAATTGGAACTGGCTAGGTGATAGCCTGAAACGACAAGTCACACGTCATGTTTTTAGAAACGATGTAATAATACTTTGTATGTCCTCTTTCTATCAGACCTGTAAATCATGTAATTTGGTAATGCACGAAAAGATTCATAATGTGATACGTTCTAATATAATACCATGACCGTAGATGACGACAATGATATTAATCAAATGTATTTCAATTAAATATATTTAATTTATCGGAAAGTTTGCCACCAACAAAGACCCTATGACAGACGTACACTAATAGCCACAGGTCTGTATAAGAAAAAATAACGAATTAAAATAAAATTAAACTTAAACAAATAGTCAGTCTATGAACTTCCCATTTTATAGAAAATGTAATTGAAGAAGACAATTGTTTTTATTAAAAATGTCCAAAAATCTGTATATGTCATTTCACTGCAATGATGCATCTAGCTGAAAGTCTATGTCTTAATGCACTGCTTACGCTCAGAGTAGAAATCCATCTCATTTGCCTTGTAGGCACATAAATACCAGCTTGTCCATGATGGAATAAAAATTTACTTTGCAGTTTCAAACATTAATAACAAATAAAACATTTATATGTTCTAAAATTTTAACAATTCAAAATCAGATAATAATTACGTGAAACGTAAAACTGAAAAAAGATACCAACACAAATTAACAAAATTTATTGTGTATTTTCTAATGTGCTAATAATCGGTTAACTTGAGATTATGCCACACGTCAGAGGCAAACTGTAACTTCGGCATAAGTAAAGGATTAGAGAAAAGAATCTAAATAAGATAAATAATATTTAATATAACTGATAAGATTTATTATAATTAGCGCCTCAGAATATACTAAATAAACATAATAATAATTTCTTATGATATCGATGGACAGTTTTTAGAAACTGTAGTTTAATTGTGTATTAAAACTGTTTAACAGCGTTGCGTTATTAGACGCCATATGTGGACAAGGTCGTGTCTCTCCGTCTGTCCAGTCAATTGTACTCGAGAACCACTGGACTGATTTCGACGAAACTTGTTGTGGATATTTTGCTATTCTGCACAACCCCAGGATCGTACTTTTCAATAACCTCCGAGTGCTAATAACAAAATGACTGATGACAAAAGTCGTGAGGTGGATACAGAGGTTATGTGATCTGGTGGCCAAAGTGGGAACTATCGAAGAAGCCGGATTTTACAAAGAACGCGTGAGGACATTGTGTGTATTCCTTTTCGAAATACACTTCCGAGCTTGTTTATTCAATTTTCCTGCCATAGTGACATTGAATATCGCCTCCGTGGCATGATTTGCGTGGGGCAGACGCCACCGCGGTGTGAGTGGGGGTTGTTGCGCAGGCGGGGTGTTGAAATGGCGGGCAGGGGGTGCTGGTAACAGACGTAAGTTAGTGGCACAGTTTGACGGAACGCGATCACACCATCTCATTGACTGGAGTTCCGTGCATTACAATTACAACGGTGTTAAAAAGTAAATATAAGAGGAAAATGTTTGAAATGTTTTAAACAAGACCTTGGAGTATTTTTTTAATGGTACTTATCTTAACTTTTAGGAGGCGATTATGGAAATATTTAAGAAAGTAAATTGAAATTGGCCAAAATAATTTCCTTATATTTTTAAACTGTCATATTGAACCAGTAACCAGTTTTCGAAAAAAATGGTCGGTTGCCTTAACCAAATTCATTTTCCGAGCTGGCAAACAGAAATTCATAATAGTCATTTAACTTTGTTTCACTTCCTATATTTTTTATAATTATATTGTTTCAGTAACTTGACAACTGTGTTTTGTTGAGTGGTTAGTGGGATGAGCAGAAAGTAAAAGTGGTTTTAATGTGTGAATAGAAATAAATGAGCAGATTACACCAATCAAGAAAAATATTCGACTTTACATTCTGATATTGTATTATTTATTATTTAACACGAAGAACTAATTTTACAGACATCCGAGAGACAATGGTTTAGATATGTTTAATCTGTTAATGGTTTAGACGAAAAAGGATGTAAATAAAATGTTTATTATAGCATTAACAATTCAAAAATCTTCAAAATATTTATTTCTAATCCCCTTTTGTTACTAATACTAATACTTTATTGATCTTAAAAGTAATTTATTGCAGATATGGGCGTATTATTGGAATTTGTATTTTGTTAAATATTTTATATATTTAAAATGTTAAAAATAAATTTTATAAATATTTGTGAGATCTGTATTTTATGTTGGGTAGTGGCTTTATGTGTAATTAACCGTGTTGCAGGAATTTATTGAAGTTATGTTTGTCTCTCATGTAAAACATGGTTTGTAACTGACCGGTTAAATTCGCTCCACAACTTTTAGTGTACACAGTACTTCTAAATTTCATCGAAATATGTCGAGTAATTTAAAAAATGTACCATGTGAACGGTCGAGAAAACGGATGGACAGACTCAAGTTTTCTCTTTATGTGTTCGTTTTATGCATTATGCTCCAGGATTATATATAGACTTACAGGTAATACAGGATGATGTCAGACTGAAATGTTGGTCTACTCTATCAATATTATAGTGATAGAAATTTAGGAGTTATGTGGGTCTATATATACAGGTTAAAACAAGAGTAGAGTTATATTCTTATCTTAATAACTTCGGCGATGGTATTATGATGCTACTTTGTTATTTTTTCCTTCGTACGTTAAAGGTTTTTAAAAAAATAAATTGTATGTCTCGAAGGGTCGATCTTCATTCTTCGTTTAAAAAAAGTTAGGTATCTTTTCTGATCGATCCGGTAGATCGATCAATTCTCGATATGCAAAGGAAGATGTAAAACCTAAAAAACTTGACAGATAATTAATAATGTCCAAAACAAAGACGGTGTTAATATTTAAATATGAATGATTTTTTCTATCTTGCGTTAAAGGTTTCTTTTTAAATTAAAACATCATAACGTCTCGAAGGATTGATCTTCATTCGTCTTCATTTTAAAAAGTGAGGTATCGTTTTGATCGATCCGGTAGACCGAGCTATTCTCGATATGTGAATGAAAATCTGTCCTCCGAAACGCAGTGATTCTTTAAAACTTAACAAATCTAACAGACTGTGGATAATGTTTAAAACAAAGACGGTATTAATATTTAAATATGAATGTTGATATTTGTGATTTTAGCCTCCATTTTGAGGCGAGCTCGGCAAGATGTAGCAGATAAATGTTTGCCCTTCAGTTAAGAACTGAATGCACGGAGCTTGAAGCATTCTTGTTAGAAATGCTGTAGGTGAAGTGAATGATGAACATTACCCACTGCTCTAACTGGAGGGAGTGAAGTTTGTGAGATTCATTCAATAAAACAACCGAAGCAACTTCAAGAGTCACTCATCAAGATGGCTGCCACAGCTGGTCTAGTTGGCACGCTTCTAATGCACATATGTACTAACTATGAAGCTATTATGGAAGGCACTCAGACAGACGGTAAGCAAAATACATCAAAAAGCTATTTCTAACTTTATAAAATGTCACAATATTCGTTCATTGGGTTAAATATTATTGTTCATCCTTCAAAAAAATCCTTTCTACACTGTACCCCAAAAGTAACGTAGCCCGAAGTTTAAAGGTAAATGTTTTGTTAGTGTAATAGGGAAATTTCAGTTTGTCATGCCCAATGGAAACACTGGACTTCTGTCATAATGACAAGTCGCCCTGATGATGGAGAAAACATCATAACGTCTCGAAGGATTGATCTTCATTCGTCTTCATTTTAAAAAGTGAGGTATCGTTTTGATCGATCCGGTAGACCGAGCTATTCTCGATATGTGAATGAAAATCTGTCCTCCGAAACGCAGTGATTCTTTAAAACTTAACAAATCTAACAGACTGTGGATAATGTTTAAAACAAAGACGGTATTAATATTTAAATATGAATGTTGATATTTGTGATTTTAGCCTCCATTTTGAGGCGAGCTCGGCAAGATGTAGCAGATAAATGTTTGCCCTTCAGTTAAGAACTGAATGCACGGAGCTTGAAGCATTCTTGTTAGAAATGCTGTAGGTGAAGTGAATGATGAACATTACCCACTGCTCTAACTGGAGGGAGTGAAGTTTGTGAGATTCATTCAATAAAACAACCGAAGCAACTTCAAGAGTCACTCATCAAGATGGCTGCCACAGCTGGTCTAGTTGGCACGCTTCTAATGCACATATGTACTAACTATGAAGCTATTATGGAAGGCACTCAGACAGACGGTAAGCAAAATACATCAAAAAGCTATTTCTAACTTTATAAAATGTCACAATATTCGTTCATTGGGTTAAATACTATTGTTCATCCTTCAAAAAAATCCTTTCTACACTGTACCCCAAAAGTAACGTAGCCCGAAGTTTAAAGGTAAATGTTTTGTTAGTGTAATAGGGAAATTTCAGTTTGTCATGCCCAATGGAAACACTGGACTTCTGTCATAATGACAAGTCGCCCTGATGATGGAGTTAGGACCTCTGAAACGTCGGAAAACTTCTACCGGAGGAGAGAAAAGTAACGTTATCCATCCTTAGGGCTGAAATGAGATCTGAGGTTCTCTTCAACATGAAGATAAAGATACATGATACCATGCTCAAACATGTTTGTAGCCACACGGCGTCACAAACCGGAATATGACAGTTTGTTAGGTAAGGTAATATAGACAATTTGCTTCCAGATCAGAAGGTACCAATCATTCTAATTGAAACACCATATGTTAAAATCAGAAATTAATTAGTCGAAATAATACGAGCATATAGAGATGTTGCAAGAAAGCTTTCTGAGTCAAGCCTTGAATATAAATGTACGTATTGTCCCTGATAGTTATGCAGCCAAACTAACGGTAGTGATACTTTGGTTGCTTCCGCCAAGGGATAAATAAAGGCTAATAATTTAACCGCGTGTAACTGAATAAAATCTTTCCTGGCTTGATCCCAACGTCAATGTGGCTTCTTACGCGCACTGTCTCTGGCCGAATGTAAGTTCCAATTTCTTTGATTCGATGAATATATTTCCATGTTTTATGTAGTATCTATTTTTCTTTAATAGTACAGCGTAATATTTAAGTAACCGCCTTATGTTCCCAGCCGCGTGTTAAAAAATATTTCGAATATTGTACTTTAGAATCCTGTCGTGTTAATTATATAATTGGTGTTTAATTACCTCCGCTTGTTAGACGATATAATTGTTCTGTCATGTTCACATCTTAACTTGATCATATCTAATAACTGCTGAAGATGGAGGCAGTATGTTCTTCTGAACCGGGAGTATCTACAAGTCCACACGGTGTTCAATCCAGAAGGAAAACATCTTCATCTTGATCATCGTTATGACTTCAAATCTGACGTTAGCTTGCCTTTATTTTTAGGGGAACACATTGGGTGTGATTTATGGACGCCAAAACTTTTTCATGGCAAGACTTTCACCATCGCAGCGCTGAAAGTAAGTACAGCCAGTTTAAACCGTGGGTCTGCAGATTGTGCTACGAAATGTCTGCCAATGGGTAGATATTCGTTGTGTTTCTAGGTGATTAGAACGTGTTTAGATAAAGTTATTTAACCCCCTTAGGACGCTGGATTAATAAAGTAATTACATCACGAAGAGAACATGTATCTTTATGTCGCGTGATTTATAATTAAGGGATTTAATAAATTTCGCACGAGTATCCGTTACGAAAAGTGTTAAGAAAATGTTTAATTTGTATCAGCTCATCCAACGTATAAGATTGTGAATTAAAAACATAGACCAAATTTGAGATTTGTAACTCTTAAGTAAATTATTTGTTGCTTGGTTTATAATTAAGTACAATTACAGTCGTGGACTGTAGTAATGGTTTGAAAACTCTAAGAGATTAAATATATTTGTTTTTGTCAATAATGTGTTTTTGGCATGTAACATATCTTTTGTAGGTTAGGATTGCCAACAATATATTTTATCTGCAAGTGGAAATACGTAGAGAAATGCAAAATATTTTGAAAAATTATGTATTTTCCAAACTATTTCTGAAGACGTTAGTAGAATTTCTGTCGCAGTATTATCGCGGAGGTTGTGTTTGAATTAAAATTAGATTTAATTGGCACAGAATAGACTGTGATCCATGACGAATAACGTCTTAATCATGTACCCCAAATCATTTTTAAAACAATCAGAAACATTCTTAGTAAATACGCATCACCTTGGCGACACAGAATGAATTGACAAGCGATAAGACTTCCATCTTGTGTTCGGAGGCGTACTAGACTCTAAAACTGACAATTGAGAGATTATTAATTTTCCTTTGACCTTGTATATTTGTATATGTTACTGTCTGGAAACACAGGAGTTCCCATTGAGTTACCTGGAAGACGGAATTCCTAAAGGCATTGTCTTTGACTTCGTTGAGATCCTGAGGGACAAATATGGATTTAATTATACAGTAAAATTTCCTGAAGATAATATCATAGGAGATGCGGACACAGGGATAATCAGCATGCTTCACAAAAAGGTAAGCAAGACAACAAATGGTATAATCCTTTCTTAGAATACATTTTATTTTCCAGGACATGTGGTATTAATTATGAATGTCATTATAGTTATTTTAATTTATTAATTCCATCATTTGACAGGGTGGTTATGTCTATGAATCTGGCCCGTAAGAATATAGACAGTTTAATTAGTACAAGAAATGGAAATAAGTCAGCAATTTTTAGTAACCGTGTTTTTATTTGAAAATTACTGAAAATATTAAAACTTCATATTCAACCGACTGAGCTATGGCACTCCTTAGTCAGTAATATTTTATTCGTTTAACTATTTTAATATGCTTTGTTATCACATGGCACGCGACTCAACGGTTATATGTTACGTGACGTATCACGAAGATTTCTCACCCACTTGAGCTGATTACACTGGCTATAATGTCTTTTACGACGCACATTAGCGTGTTCTGTGCCTCACCTCTTCGAACATTGCTTAGAACAAATCGATAATCGAACACCACCAGCCAATGATTTCTATATAGTATTTTACATATATAAAATATAATTTAATGCGTTATTAACGACTCCAGGTCTTGAAAACAGAGCTTTTAAGGACTAATATACTAATTGTTCCGTTTATTCTTTGCTTACTGTGACGTGCGTGACGATTTTCGATTGTCATGTCGGTACAGTGTGACAGACAGTTGAAAGTTATTATGTCCCCACCAAAGCAAAAATCAATGCACTAAAATTTTATGTCGCCTGTGAAAGTCTGTAGCACTTTAGTTTCCGACAGTGAAAAATTGAAGTAAACATCTCGATTTAGAAGTCATTTTTCTCATTTTATCTGACAATTTGATTCTTGACAATCTTTGACTCAGAAATCAAAGCATTAAGCTGTTTTATGTACATTTCAGAATAAAGCGAACAAGACATTGTCTTTCGTATTGTCAAAATCCTTCTTTCGACAGTCAGTAAAATGAACGTGACATCGAAAAGGACCTACACACCTTATTTCCTGACAATACCGTGCATCCAATGAGTGGTAATTGGTTATCCTGATTGAGGACTTCATGGTTTTTCTCAGTGTCTCTAGGAAAATCTTGGAATAATACCTTAGGCCACGATTCCTTTCAAATTCCTTAAAGTAATTATTCGTTAATAATCCTAATATTTGATGCTATGTAGACTGAGATATTAACAATAAATACATAACATCATTTCAAGTCCTAGTCACCAAGAAACTTACACATATTCATGGGACAGAGGTCTTTTAGACAAGCTGACAGTCACTCAGCTCGTCATGAAATTCCATTTATGCACCCCGAATTTTCACGCTAGTCTTCACAAAAGCTCACCATTGGAACCTGTCCTGAGTCAAATGGATCCAGTCCAAAAACTTACACATACATAAATGCAATTTCAGAGGTCCTTGCTGCATCCACCATCAGGGCGATGATTGAGGCAGCAATAACCTCTGAAACGTCGCGTGGGGAGAATATTGAAAAAAAATCATCAAATTTTTCAAAAAATCAAAAAATGCAGGAAAATGTCCAAAAAGCGCACAAAACTATTTTTTTTAAAAAAAATTGAATTCAATTTTTTTTCGATTTTTTTTTATTTATCTTCGCTTTTCATGGCATTTGCAACCATTTTTTTTTAAATTTCGAT